CAAAGAAAAGTATATATACATGTCCTAATAAAAAAAACGTAACTAAAACATTAAATATCACTGTTTTTATACTGTAAAAATTAGAAAAAATGATAAAAATGTTTAAATAATCAAGATTTTTAATATTTCCAAACAATATGGCGGCCATGCGCAAGAAGTTAAATTTTATGTACATTTGACATTGTTGCCAGTTTTAACAATTTAAAATACCTAAATTTTAAAATTTAATTAAAAATTACTTACCTTAAATAACAGGTAGATAAAATCCTAATAACTAGGTGGGATTAACGATGCGGCCGCGGTAAAGAATGCATGCATTCTCTCCTTCTTATCGGGAAATCTTCTTTTGAAGTAGAATTCTTCAAGATAACCTACAAAATGGTTTGCGTAGTCATACTGGGAATGGTGGACCGAACTTCCTCAGAGTTCTCTATGTTGTTGGTATATGTACCTGTCTCAGGATCGACAAATCGCTTGGAATGGTTGACTGTTTGGTGAATAAATCCTTCTTGTTCAAACAATTGTATGATTTCCAACAATCACTGTAAATTGTTGTGCCAGGAAGAACCCATTCTTTAATTATCCAAGCAAAGTATCGGCATCCCTTGATTCCAAGGTATTAGGAAACAATTTTGGAATTCCGTTCAAATCCACCAAAACCCACTGTCCAACCACACGGCGACCTCTATTGTACTTTCTCTTGCCGAATTTCGCTTAATCAACCTCAATAATGGTCGAAGGGCCCCCTATTTTGACAGAGTGTTTCATATGTAATCCTGAAAAACTTCTCTGCAAAACGAGTACCAATCAACCATCGTCTTGGAAGAAATCCCGAACTCGTCTTTTACGAATTCTTGCCTAGGCGGTTTTAAATGCAATAAAGTTGCCACCAACATAAATATTTTCTAACGGCAATTTACTTGCTTCCAAAAGGTGCTGCCTTTCTTTGCGATAGACTAAATTAACATTTTTTTTTGGGATTTTTTTGTCTTTGGACAAGTTTATTGCATTTAAATCTACCTTCAGCGTTTAATTCGCAACTCGTTGCCGCACCGACACACCATTTTGTCTTTTATAATTCCGTGTTTAATCATAAATTCTAATGACTACCCTGATTTAAGCACAATCCGAACTTTCTGGTAAATCGTAATTCGCAACCACCACACTCCATTTTGTCTTCTCTTAGTAACGAAACGAACACGAAAAAACAAGAAATGTGTTGAAAATGCCACACCTATTCCCATTCCCACCAATATTTTAAACACAATTGCCAAATTTAGATGTTTGCAAAGACATTGCAAATCTAAAGTACACTTTAATGCAAATGTATCCTATTTTCGTATGAAATTATCATTTATCGTCTAGACGGCAACGCATGTATGTAGAAAATTTCATCCATTCGATTAAGGTCGGGTATTTTCGTTTTGGTATTGGCGGTATAAAAAAATATAGATAATTCCGAGATTGACACCTAACCGTTAAAAGTCTGTCTGGGAATCCCCCAATATTTATTAGCATCAATTTTTTATTTTCATAAGAAAACATGACAATAAACGTAAAGAAACGTAACCAAATCTAACCTGACCTTGTAAAAAGCTATAATTTTCAGTTAAAAGTAGGTAGATAATAATAAAATGTTATTTTAGTGTCCAATATGAAAGTAAATTTTTATTTTTCATTAGAAAACATAATTTTGAATAACTATGGCAACACTGGTTAAAATTACCATTTTTGACCATAAGAAACAGTTGTCATTCCTGTCATTTCTTGTTGTTTCATGGTAAATAATGGCGAATAATGGCGGTGGCTTTTATAAAATCGGGCATATTTTAAATGGAAATTACATAAAAAATAACGTCTTGCACCGCATAAAAATCATTGCACAATCATTAGTAAGTGAAGCAGAATTCATTGATATAAATTTCATCTCGTAAACATGGTTCCGGTTATTACACACTAGTACCAGCTTCAATTTCTGGAAATAAATATTCCTAAAATTTACTACCTCGCTTCACTTTGGCTCCATTTAGTATCAATGGTTTTCAGTTTACATTTAATTTTTTCGCCACTATTAAGTTGCGAAGTTTGAATATTACAGAAAATAAATTTCCTGTAGTCGTCGGTATACCATAAATCACAAAAATTTTGTTTAAAAAATCATTTATAAAAGATAAAATAATATAAAAAAAAACCCTTTTGGGCTACATCACAGAACGTTTTCGGAATTACTATTCCATCATCAGTACTTTTACATGAGTAAAGCCACTAAATATACGGATAAAAAGCCTTTAACTTAAGGTTATACATGTTTGTCCGTGTGTTGATGCTACTATAAAAATACCAGTATAACCTAACATGACGAAATTTTTTTGCTTGTCTTTTTCGTCCCTACGTTTTCCGTATCTCTTCTATTTTTACTACATATATTTTAGGTTAGTTTGACAGAGGACAGAAGAAAACTTATACTCGGGAATAGAAAACAAAAATTGACTGGTCTGTCTCTGCTGCTATGTTTATGCAACCCTCATCGCACACTTTGGCATAATAGTTTACTCTTTCTTAATTTTTATTAAACAAGCAATAGTTTAATCTTACTAATAAAGAAGAGAAAAACCGGACACAAAAAAATCCATCCACTAAACATTGTTTAATGAATGCAAACAATTACTAAAAAACCACTAGGATCTCTATATAGTGAAAGGTTATGTCACAGTAGCTATGTATAAACAGGACTATATCAGCAAAAATGAAATCATGCTAAAAGATCCAAAATATTACAAAGAACTAAGTAGAAACCCCAGTTGTACTCTTCAACAAAAAGCAACTAAATTAGTAACAGATCTAACCAACACTTTGAAAATTACGAATCTAACAGCAAAAAAGATAAGAATTTACAACTCAATAGCACCTAGATCTACTACTACTTACACTACCTACCGAAAATACATAAACCGTGACGAAAGATTTTGCTTACCACATATAAGGGGTTGACTGGGGACAACTACAAAAATGAAACAAAGGGGTACTTATATGAATCTCCTGGACAAATGGACAAAACAAAACAAGAAGGATCTCTAGCTATTTAAATAGAAACTTCCTGCTGGATGAAGGAAAAGGTTCTTCCGTCCTAAAAAACACAAGAAAAAGGGTTAGAATCTTTTTTTAAAATAAATAGACAAAATGGTTTAGAGAAATAAATTAAACATTTATTGTTGTCTCACCACAGATACAAAAATAGACAATACAAAAATACTATATTAATAGTCACAAAAGTAAATACAAAAATAACAAAGAGAAACGCTTACTATGTCTTAGCCTTTTACAAACTCTAGGAGTTGGAGATACTACAAAACTTACTATTGTTACTGGGCTATAATTTGTAGCAGAAATAAATTATTACAAATAAAAAATTATCTTTACAAATCTCTTATGAAAGTAACTATTAATAAAAATGTTTATTCTTATTTTTGCTTTAAAATTCAAACGCAAAAGTTACCTGGATTGCACTAAAACTTCTGGGGGTGGAATCTAGACTTCACTGAAATTTCTGGGGGTAGAACTGGGCTTACACTTTCTTCCACACGAACAAATTCATCTCCATACTATGAAAAGTATTTTGAAACGGCGTATTTTAAAACACTTACAACGGGAACGGGAACGCCAAATATCCTAAAAGCGGTTTCGATCAAAATAATGCCGAGGAATTACCCATCTGTGTTATATAAACAAACTGTAAAATAGTTTATATCAACTCGGCGACGTAAAGAGTAATTGAAATACACTAAAAATATTCTTCGGTGTTTTATTACATATACGAGGGGATTTCAATATATATCAAGAAATTTTAAAATGCTACAAAATCAACCCTAGCAATGAGACCCAATTCTCGCAGCCATTGATTCTCAAAACAGTAAATTATCCAAGTTCTTAACAGAAATATTAAAAAATGCATATTTTTTGTTGTTGATAGCTGCTGAAATTTGTTCAACAGACTCTGGAACAGAAAAAAGAATAGATGTATATATACAGATGGATGCTAAGAATTGCATGGGTACAAAAAGTTACCAACGATGAGGTACTTCGGCGCATGAGTAAAAAAATTACTAAGAGTAATCAAAAAGAGGAAAATACAATACGTGTGTTCTCTATACATGTGCTGAGAGGTGAAAGCTATGAATTACTCCAAATCATATTGCAAGGTAAAGTACCGGACAAAAAAAAAGTCAGTAGGAAGACGCCAGAACTCGTGGCTGAAAGACCTAATGAGATGTTTTTAGGAGACGGCGCAATAAAAAGAAGAAGCAAATCATTCATTTCCTTAGCTGCTTTTACCTCTGACACTGCAATGGGTAAAGGTACTTCAGATCCTGCTTTTTTGCTCTTTCGAGATCCTTATAGAAGGATTCAACAAGTTCATACTTTATTTTCACGAATCCACCAGTCCTCAATTAATTTTTCTCTCTTGGATATACAGTTCAGAAATACTTCTGGAGTTGAAATTGAAAGTGCTTTTCGCCAAATTCCCCAAACCGCTTCGACAGCGTAACCATTAGGCCCAACATGGTTGTCATAATACTGTGTTGTTATTCCCGTATCTTATATTTGATAAAACTGGCAGTGGTATGGTGAAAGACGTTAAAACATGACCGTAACTTTCAATAATCTGATGTACCACAAAGATTGTTTTGCATGTGGTTTTGTTAAACGTAATAACTCAGATTTTAATACATGGTGTGAAATGAGTATGCGTTTCATTTGTCTACCATTCTTTAATTTTGTCTGCATTCCACGAATCTGTTGGACTTTTTTTAATATTTCGGAATACGAAAGATTATCCATACTTACAAGATATTGCACGCACTTTCTAAAGAAAATATATGTGTGGTTCATTATACTTTGCAGTTAAAAGTATTTCATAATAAATGGGATCATAGTCGATTTTAGAGCTCATTTTGTAGAGATATTCTATTGTAGTTAATAATTTTTGTTTGTAATTTCAGATGACTAGGGAGGAGACGTTGTGGCAAAACGAATTGAAAGACTTGATTTGGTTAGAACTGCAAGCATACCACGCGGACAGAACTCCTATGGAAGAAGACGCATATCTATGTTTAGCTAGAGAATGTGTAGAACCTCTTTTAAAAGATATTATGAATTATAGATTTCACAGATCATCTAAAAAGCAAGTATCATTTTTTTTTTTTTTTTTTATTCATCTAGTAGAGTTTTATTTATCAAAAACTTATTCTTTTATGTATATATCGCTACCGTAGAAGAAAACCGTCATATCTCAAAACGTGACAATTTTCAGAGATTTCTATTTTAAAAATCCATGAATTTTAAAATATCATAAAACTTTACCCACTATTGCGAACATGTTAATATTTTGGCTTTCATGTGTACTAGCCTGTAAAAAGCTAGAGTCAATTCCATACCTATTCCTAGTTTAGACCATAAAATTGTTTTTGAACTGTGACGTTCTTCTTAAAAAAATGTGTTCGGTGTTTGGAGATAATTTATTTCTTTATTAAAATTGTACGTGTTTTTTTACAAATGTAGATTTGTCACTTAAAAATACGAACAAAGACGCTATAGTGTAAAAACTAAAAAATAATGTCATTCCGCAGTAAATGATAGTTAAAAATTACTTGTCTTCATTTGAAAATTCATTTTTTAACTTTTCGTAATACTATCTCATTGTTTTTGACAGAAGTCAACTTTAGCATGAGTCTACTCCTAAATCCTTGAGTCATTTTTATAATCTGAAATAATTCCATCTGGATTTATTTTTTGTTAAGGACGTCATAACGAAATAATTTGTAGTTGGGCTCAGAAATTCAAAAAGTTCTAATAATTTTCTAAAATACTGACATAACTCAAAAGAATAGAACTCATTTTAAACATAAACTCAACTTCTTTACTGACACAACTCAAAATGTCCTTCAAAATTCTTCACAGAAAGTATTGTATTGTATTATTCTGTTTTAGAGAAAGGATGTTATATCTCAAAATATGACAGTATTGTGCAAAATGTTCTTCAAACTTTTCTAATCATATCTTATTAACAATAACATACTTCTACCATCTGATGGCCATAGTCATTAACTAACTTTATGACATTATCACACAAAAAAATAAAAATATTTTCTTACAGGGATGCAAGTTACAATAGTGATAGTGGAGTAGAAGAAGACTGCCCAGGTTGTGCTTCCATTTTGTGTTATTCGTGTATGGAAGCTCAAAATGAAGCGCTCAAAGAGGTAGAAAAGTTACTAAAAAGATTAGAAGATGCAGAAAGTTTATTTCCTTCCTCGAACGCTTTCGCAGAACTTTATCCTTTATACAGGTAAATCGATTTGTTGTTGATTGTATTTTATTGTCTCACATGTATCAAAATGTAACATATAGAAAATCTTTTTTCCCATTGAGGAATGAAACAAATTAGTTGCACTGAAACAGTTCGGCCTACTATGCATCTCCTGTGAGTCACCGACCACATTGTTTACACAGAAACAAATTAATAGGTTTTGATGTGACACGTTAACAAAATAACATGGAATACCGAGCTTAAGAAACGTCGGCGTCGTCACCTTAACCGTACTATCGTAACCGTCGTAAATTGGAAGTGTCACTTCATGCACCTTAGTAAAGAGTAAATACGCCTATTCGCTGTGTGCAAGTACTTGGAGGGGATACAAAAAACGATTGTGCGCGATTGCTTTCTTTCAGGCATAAGCTTAAGATCAGTTCAACGAATAATCAGGGATGATCGGGTAACAGATAACTTGCTAGCTTGCACGAGCAGAAATCTCTTCAATTCTCCGTCTCAAAAAAAGTACAGTATATGTACGGCAACTACGCATTTGTGACACCCAAGATTAAGTATCTTTCCTATCTCTCTTAGAATAATTCCTTTTCTATTTTCGCGCAGGTCACCCGCCATCTCTCGCTTGTCTGATTGTAATTATTGATATATATTACAATAATTATTGTATTAAATAAACAAGTTTAAGTCACTTTATGTGCAGCTAATATAAGACTAAAATATTAATAGTACTAACATTTACGCCGATTTATACCACTAGGTGTCTCTTTTCGGAACTTACACATAGCGAATTGACGTTGCTGTCCATTAATGTATTAAAATTTTTTATTTCGATATAAAATCATGTAGGTATACTAATATAGCGTATTGGATTGATATGTTCTCGTTAAATAGGTCGTGTAAACAAATATTAATATTGTCAAACTCAAGAGCTATTTAGAGATAGAATAATAGTGTAATAAAACACAGATAAAAGTTTTTCCGGAAATAGGTTAATATGTCTTTATAAAAGTAAAATATACAATGTTTGAACAACTTAACACATCATTATTTACTTTGACCGGTTGAATAGCTACTAAGGAGTTAGATATTTAAACACTAGATTATTACTAGTTATCCCGAAAAAACATCAGATATATATTTTTACGAAATTAATGTTGTGTTTCCTTTCAGATCTCCTGAAATAGTAGGAAGGGTTCGAGTAATGTGTCAGTGGTATAATGTAACGAAACATCAAAGGTTAAAATTAAATCTGTTAGGCAGATTAGTGGTTCTTTTAGAATCCAAACATTCCGACTGGCCGTGTTTTGCTGTTGGCGAAGAAAATGGATCAGGTAATGGATATTTAAATTATATTTAGTTTTTAAAATATCTATAGGAGAGTAAGTTTTTACAAGTAGTTTAAGTAAAAAGCGTATTTTACAACTGTCTTTTAACGTTAAAGAGGTATGGGGAAAGCGATAGAGATGCATGCAGTAGAGTTAGGACGGGATGGATTAAGTAGAAAGAAGCTGGTGTGTTCTGTAACAGAAAAATTCCAATGAGAGTGAAAAGAAAAATATATAAACCATGGACGTATAATACATCCATGATATAAACTGTCATAAGACCAGATATGATGTAGAGATATTCCGTCATTGATATCATTCTGACTTAGTTTTTTTTTGGTACACTTTTACAGTGTTAATTAAATATAGCTGTACATGTTGCCGTTGATTTTGATATACATATTGGAGTACTAGTTATTCGTTTTGCAAGTTTTAGATTATTCTTGGGGCTACAGCTGCCGCATATTGTTTTTTACTTTTGGTTTTGTAGTGTCGTGTCTGTATTTTCCCAGAGTCAAACCAGACATAACTGCCAGAGGAGCAAAGATTATTCTCGCATTTGCAGATGATGTAGATGCAGTAGCACAGACAACACTGGAAGTTAAGGATATAGTATCGAACTTTGAAGAAGCAACACTAAGCGTAGGCCTGAAAATAAACGAAGAAAAACTAAATACATGGTCGTATCAAAAAAGGAACGACAGCGAATAAGACAAAACATTACCATAAACGATCATAATTTTGAGGTGGTCAAAGAATTCAAATACCTAGGAGCAACAATTACCAGTGAAAACACAGGAGAACGAGAGGTTGAAATACGAATACTGGCGGGGAATAAATCATTCTTTGCCATTCAACATCTAATGAGGTCAAAGCTTCTCTCAAGGCGTGCCAAAATCCAAATGTACAAAACCATAATACGACCAGCAGTGACATATGGAAGTGAAACATGGACATTGGGAAAGAAAGAAATCAATAAGTTATTAGTATGGGAACGCAAAATCCTGCGAATTATATATAGTCCTTGCAGGGACAGCGTGACAAATGAATGGAGGAGCAGATACAACAATGAATAGAGACTCTCTTCGGGAAAGGAAACATCCTAAGATACATAAAAGCCAATAGATTAAGATGGGCAGGCCACGTGCTACGGAGTGATGACGACATTGACTGTGTGATTGAGCGATAGCAATGTGTTTTGGGAAAGACCAGATGGTAAAAGATCGACAGGAAGGCCTAGAAAAAGGTGGAAAGACGCAGTCAGGGAAGACCTGGAGAAGATGGAAGTAAGGCCATGGGAAATAATAGCACAGGATCGGAATCAATGGAAGGCAATAGTAAACGCGCCAAAACTCACGCAGAGTTGTAAAAGCCAATGATGATGATGATGTGTCTGTATTTTCCATTTTTCCATGTTTTTATAGTCAAAATAGAGTCCTTTTGTTAACTTTTTTATTTTTTCAATAGATTATAATTGCTAAAATAATTCCTTCTATATTTCGGTAGTATATTTCTCCAGTACGTGATTTGTTGCCGTTTTATATAAGACAACAATGTGGCCCGATTCTAACGCATCGGGACTCTAGACCGTATGATGTTCTACTAAAATGCTTTTGTTGTGTCACACCAAAAATATTCTATGCAGAATTATTTTGATATTATGAATGAATATAAATAATGCAAAATAACACGTTTTAAGACGCACAAAAGTAAAGTTTTAGTTTCAGAAATTTATTGAAACAACCGTGCACCACTTATTAGAACATTCTATTCATGTTAATATGCTATAATAATAATACATAATACAAAATAAAAGACGTACATAATAAAACTGGTGATGAAAAATGAAAATCTCTATTTTTTAAAATAACCATAACCATAAAAAGAATTCCACAAGATTAAAAACAAAAACCCCGCTATTAAAAAAATCGCATGTTGTATTCGAAATTCCTGCTCGAATTGTGTTGGAGTTTATATTGGACAAACCAGTCAGCTACTTAACTCAAGAATACGTTTCCCACAAATATGACAAAAAAAACTCAACCGCCCTCACAAAACATGAAAACGAAAAAAAAAACCTAAATTTGATTTTGAGAAAACGAAGATCCTAAAAAGTGAACACAACGGGAAGAAGAGAGAGCTTCTAGAGTCTATACAAATAAAAGAAAAACGCAATAAATAATAAAAAGATGTCACAAATTTAAACAAAATATATTTTAATTTAATTTAAAAACACATAAAAAGACAATCTCAGAACGCCTATGATGTTAAAATAACTGATTGTTTAAACGATAAACTAACATCAAAAAACAACACACTAGTTTTCTAATATATGTTTCAACACCTTTCAGCCGAGATCAATCAATAAATGAATGTTCACCGAGCCATATACTTGATTTCTCTCCGTACTACTTATCCATCGGCTGACTAAAGGTCGATTCAGACACATCAGTCACGTCTCGTCACCATCTCGTCACAGTGATTGCGCCGAATCGAACAATCCGTCATACAAAATATTCTTTAATACAAATATGGCGCCGGCATTCACACTCATCAGTTGACGAACAGTTTGCCAGCTGTCAGATAGTTGATAGTTCTGTGACCAAACAGGACCGGTTCGGTACCGTGACTGTGACGTGACTGATGTGTGTGAATCGACCTTAAAGGTCGATTCAGACACATCAGTCACGTCTCGTCACAGTGATTGCGCCGAACCGAACAATCCGTCATACAAAATATTCTTTAATACAAATATGTTGCCGGCATTCACACTCATCAGTTGACAAACAGTTTCCCAGCTGTCAGATAGTTGATAGTTCTGTGACCAAACAGGACCGGTTCGGCGCCGAGACTACGACGGGACTGATGTGTCTGAATCGACCTTAACGCGTATTTTATTAAATCAGAATTAACAGGGGTAAACGTGAATGGATTTTTTAATTAACAATATTAGGTATGCTGATGACACTGTAATTCTTCTTCTTGACGTGCCTATCCGTGACGAATGTTGGTGATCATCATGGTAATCTTTATCTATGCTTATACGTGCAGCACGCGGAAAAGCTACACGTATGTTGTGTTGAACCAAATTCTGAGGGTTTTTAACTTCTTGTTAATCTTTTCTTGTAGTGGAAGATACTTGGACATTATGGTGTTATATTTAATTAGTATTATTTTACAACTTGTAGTATCACTTTTTTATATTATAAAATATAAAAATCGATTTTTTAACTAATTATAAAATATTTGCAGTGAGTCCATCGGATAGTAACAATAGTACCAGTTCTTCAGGAAGCAACACCGAACCATGTAGTTCATCTGATATGTACAATATAACACCTGTTACTATTTTCCTTGCTCAGAGAGATAGTACTAAGGTGTCTCCTTACAGAAGATACATTGAAAACATACTAAAAACTAGAGCGTTAGATAAAAGTTTAAATTTCTTAGAAAAAATACATAAAAGGGTATTACAGAAAACTAAAAAGACTTTGGAGCTACCAGAAGATCGAAGCATTTTTTCCACGTTAAAAGTTTTTGATGACGAGGAGCTTTGTAGGTAAGGTTTAATTATAAATGTCATATATACCTAGTATGCAGTTCACAAACGAACACAAAATATATTTTAAATACAAATATATTTTCTCACGTATTTTGCATTATCCATAATCATATTCCATGAATCATTTTTTAAATTTTGCTCCTATTAAAGGTATGGATGTTGGAGTCCAGAATACGCCGCTCTAGATCTACCCTCTTACCGAGGTTTATACATTTTCTTAGCTACGGTACCCTTAGACGTTTACCACGAGTATCTATTAATGAGACTGGAGCAAAAGCCAACCAATCCTTCAGCATTAAGTACCAGACAATTGATGAGGGAGTTGAAGCAAGGTTTAAAGAAGGCAATGCGTGAGCGAGGTAAGTTCAAGATGTAAATTCATTCTTTTACTAGGTGTTCTGAGAAGTAACCTCATTTGAAATCGTAAACATGTGAAATGGTAAACAGCGCGACACTGTGATATCTTGCTAATGCCACTTCCGCAGCAGTGAGCAGGGAATTGAGCAGGAAAGTTGGCACCTTGAGTATGTAAATACGTCGCTCGCGCTGCCATTACTAATGTCACTACCGCTGTCGTACGCTCCCTTCGTTGGCGTTTTTTTTTAAGGAAATAAAAGGTCTTGCAGTGTGAGTTTGAGAAAATTGTATTTTATTCGATAACCGATATTCGGTTCCCTTTTAACTTACAAAGATTCTAGCCATTTTTCGACTTCTTTAATACGTAAACCATTTTTTTTTCGAGCTGAATTTTTTATTTACAAGCCATCTCTTCAGATTCGGGATAATGTAATAGTCGGAGGGGGCCAAATCAGGAGAATAAGTCGGATGAGAAAGCAATAATACTCCCAATTCATGAATTTTTACTATTGTTATAACGCTCTTGTAAACCGGTGAATTGTATCACCACAAACAACACTGTTTTCTTTTGCATATGGGGCTGTTTCTTACTGAGTTCTGCTTCAATTTGTGCAATAATGCACAATAACATTGCAAATTGATAGTTTTACCTTTTTCAAGATAGTCAATTATAATTATGGCTTTGCAATCGCCAAATACAGTGGCCTTTCCGACCCTTTCAGCCACTCTTGACCGCTTTGTAGGTTACAGTCTACTGCCGTGCGTTCCTTATGTTGGCTGGTGTTTGTGTGGTGATCATGTTTTTGATCAATGGTCAGCAAAGGCGGCATCCATCGGCAGAATAACCTTTTTATATTCAAAACTTTGTTCTAAATATGACTAAGGCACTCTGTACTAATTCTGTCTTCACTTTACGATCAGTTAAAACCATTTTATGGACTTTCTTCACGTTTTCAGGTGTAGAACGTGTGTACGTCCAGTACGTGGTTAATCCAATGTATATATACAGTCATTACGACATTCACATAACCAAAATTTGACAATTAAGTCAAACTAGCATTTTTTAATCAAACAGCCAATCACTATTGCCAACAAAGTGCCAATAATTGAGTTTTGTTTAGTACCATTGTCTTGCGATGTTATGTTATACGTTAGCAATTGACAGTTGACATGAAGCAGTTGACAATTGTAATGGAGCAATTGAAATGCAACAATTAACAGTTAAAATGAAACTTCCATATATTGTCTTCTTTACGATAATTTATAATTTCTTGTCCGATTTATGTTTTTGCTCGTTAACTATCTTATTTTTTTTTATAGATTTGGCTTGTCAATATATTGAAGCAGCGACAGCAGGTACTTTAATAACGTGTCCCGATTTCAAAGAAAAACTTCTAAAATTTGACGACTGCATCGAAAAAGTTTTCACCGACTACTTGCACTACTTAAAACAATGGATGATTATCCAAACGAATTTTCAGAAAACGATGCTGGAGGACGAATACACATTCGCCATGAATATATGTGAAATATTTCCACATCTAAAGCGGACAGTAGGATCACAATATACGTGTATCTTGGGTACTATTCTAGCGAAAACGGGAGAAAGAATGATTTCTAGGATAAACAGTGCCTTGGAATTGTTATCTCAAAAAGACATTGATGTTAAGTACGTATTCGTAATCTTTGTCGATTGACTCTTTTTTACTGTATATATTTCTCTTTTTAGGCAAAACTTGTTTAATGTGTGCAGGCAGTTACAGTCAGTATTTATCGAAGAAAAAGAAACAAGTATTAAGACGATTTCGTTCCTAAGAATGCATTTAAGGAGGGACATTGTAACTCATGAATGTATACTATATATGAAAGTAAGTATTTATCATGCAATCTTGTTATTCGGTTTTTAGAGGATTGTGAATGAAGAAGAGATAAATCATTAAGCAATCCTTGGATATTGGAAGTGAAATTGAGAGCTTCTTTAAGTGGGTCCGGTATGCCGTAGGTAATTTTTAGGAAAGCTATAAATTGGTTCTCAGTAAGAGTTAGTTCGGATAAATTATTTTTATAGATGGCTTGGACTGCATTATAAGAAATGGGTGTCAATTTATGCTCTTCTGTTACTATTGTTTTACTTTTTTCTTTTGCGGCTTGCTAAAAGAATTAGTGGTAGATTTTACAGATAAGGGGGGAGGCATTTGATTGATAGTTGGTTCTGGAGTAGTAACTGGAGAAAGTTGAGAAGGGGTGCCAGCATTACGTCACTGGATATAGCCCGTTTCTGTCTCTGTACTTGAGGGGATGCTAACTGTGTAACTAAAGGGGATGCTTTCTGTCACATTAGTTGTAGTTTCGGAGTAAGATGTGGTTGGTGCATTGATTTGATTGGGAGTGCATTGTTCTTTATAGTATTTGTAGTATTATTTTGGAAATCCGTGTTTTAATAATCTTGTAACAATGTTATTATATATCTTTTACTTTTAGGATGCGATAACTATATTCCAATCTATAATTCCCAATGGTGTGCAGAATATACATTCATTATTTGATACAGTGAGTGCGTCTAATTTGGATGAAGTCGACAAAAATGCTTTAAATTCGAGGATACGAGAATTATTAATGAGAGTATTTACTTTCGGATTTGAGGTAAGGTAATACATTATATCTTTCACAAGAAATTCAATATTTTGTGAACATGATATGCCTACTCATAATGTGGTGTCCAAATTACTATTGATAATTCTGGATCTATTTTTTGCTTTTATTAAATACTGACTAAAGTGTACATTATTTTACTTATAACATTATAATATCATACTTATAGGTAAAATAAATATAATCGTCACTCAATGTGAATGTATATGTCAAATGAACGCACTCAATTATTGGATCAATTAAGGTCGATTCAGACACATCAGTCCCGTCAAAGGATGTAGAGGGCAAGTCGATTTATTTATCATTTAAATATGGAAATTAGCCTTAAAGATAGCTTCCAGTATTGTGGTGAAGCAAAGAGACCATTGGTTGAAGGGGAAGCAGTTTTCAATGCCAACCATATATTTATTTGTGGCATTAAAACAAAAACCAGAACCACAGTTGAAATATCCTTTGTCGATCTCGAATTGCATTAACGAACAGAACAATATCGATTTGATTTAAAATACTTTAACGTAGTCATAATGCTGAAATTTACTAAAAAAATTTAATAATTCTATTCAAATCAACAGCTGTCTGGTTTGTTTATACCGCTTTTAGTAGTGTAAATTTATTCCGTCAAGGTCAAATATTTTGTTTTCAATCGCGAATAGAACTAAATTATGTCAAACAACTTGTGTAACTTAAAATAGGGTTGTTTGATCTGGAGGATTGGTCTTCTTGAACATTATTAATTGTTGTACTGGCGTCCTTTTTTAAGTTTCTACTACTGAAAATAATGATGAGGTATATATTTGGAGAATAATCTAAATTGATATGCTAATTGAGTGGATTCATTTGGGTCACTCATATTGTGACTTTTAAGTTTATCTTAATTATGAGTATAGTATCATCAATTTTTGTGTATATGCAATACATAACGTTTTTTATTTTATAGTTTTACAAAGAACTGAATGATCTTTCCGCCGAAGAGTATCGTCCTTCTTTAGTTGTACAGATGGGACATTTTGCGGATCTATGGATGAAGTTTGTGACTGAGCGCTGTGATAAAGGTAGAGGAATTAGACCAAAATGGGCTTTTCAGGGAATGGATTATCTATTGTCGATAATTGAGCCAATTAATTCGATATTGTTGACCGAAGAACAGTTTGAAGAGTTGAAGATTAGTATGGATAGCTGCATATCGCATCTTGTAGGGAAACCGTACGCAAGTAAGATATTAAGGTTTATTTTGCTCATATTGTTGTCAAAGGAATCTTTGACCATAGTATGGTTTTGTGCAAATTCAAGTTTTCTATTATAACAAAAATACTGCCTGCAATAATCTATAAGACCACCTATGAATTTCAAAGTTATGTTAAGTCATAGTTGGACGCAGAAGCGTGGGACATAGAAGAATTTTTTGGCTGCGAAACCTTCGTGAATGGTTCGAAATGACATCGGTCGCAATACTCTTTGCAGCGGTTTCGAAAGTGCAAATAGCGGTGTTGATTGGCAATCACCACACAAGATGATGAATTTCAAAACAATTTCTTCCAAGGTTGATCTATGTTATTATATTGTCATCATTCTATAATTATTTATATCATTAAGACAAGGCGATATGGATTGCATGTGAACAAGCAAACCGGATTGACTATAGATATTAGACACTTCTCAGGAATAGCTAGTATGTGGATGTAATAGTTGGAGTCCCACAGAAGGTGTGGTATTCGAGTGCACGGGAGTGAGAGTAATCTCCAGGAAATGTTAAGTATCTGGGAGTTACTCTTCATCAAGGTGGCGTGATAAGACATAAAAAAATGTTGTAATTTAGATCACTGTCTCGTCAGAAATAAATGTGGAAAAGATTAATATCGGCTAAAAACATTGAATCCGACATTTTTCTATAGGGTGACTCACCGTTGACGCGACAATCTCTTATGGCGAGGGAGAGAGAGAATTTTTACAAATATAATAATTAATTTAGATGGTGAAATGGCTGTGAAACGTAATAATTTTAAGTACTTAGGAAAATAGATGGAGAAGAAGGAAGCGAGTGATAAAAAGATTCCAATTAAACAAAGGAGAATGCTGTAAACCTGTCACAAAAGCACCTATAATATACTGAACTGGATATTGAGTAGTTAAAATGAATGAGGAGCAACTAATGCATGTTGCTGATATGATAACGCTTAGATGGATGAGTGGAGTGGCAAAAAAGGATACAATTAAGAATTAGTACATTAGAGGAGTTTAGGAGTGGCACTAATTGGTGCCAAATTGAGAGAGTATATGTTAAGATGGTTCGGGCATATTCAACGTCGAGACTTTAACGCTTAATTCGAAAATAAACCGATCCCGTATAGCAATAGAGGCAAAGAGAATGATGAAGCAACTTGTAATATAGTTTATTTAATTTTTAACGCGCTTTTAAAAAACGCAATAAAATATATAGCACTTCGTGAGAAAAAAAAACAGAACTTTGATATCACTTTTGTGATGAGCCACTCTGCATATTTAAAAAAAAATGGAAAAATACTCTTTATTAATCAACATATTACTGAATAGATAAAGCTTTTATTAAAATTTTGAACATTTAACCATAACAAACCGGTGCGTTAACGGGAACTAACCCTATATAAATCTTTGTAATACATTTGACTCCATTTCATGGCAGAAATTCAATGGTAATGAAACATACGGGTACAGCCACTGCAAATATAAACGCTGTAGAAGATCCATATAAAAAAACATCGCTGAAGTTGAAAACTAGATTTTTAATTTTTAGAAACAAAAAAAGTTTTAAACAGAGTTCATGTCTCTCGTATACCTTACTGAAAACATATCTCTCACTATACTTAACGTTGGATAAAGACACGTAGCCTCATGATAATATAGTTAGAAAACACGTCAGTGTATACTGTCCTCTTTGCAGACGGTGAAGACTAGCAGAGCATGACTTAGATAATAAAGTATTAGGTTTTCCAACAACTGCATGTAATCACAAAAATTCTAGTATCTCGATTTTTCATGAATATAATATGTTAAATTTGTGTTATTGAAGAAATAATTAGTTAACATATACATTTTTGCCATGATATTAAATGAATTGAAAGCATAATATTAATAAAAAATGCAAAGTTATAACGTTATAAAAAAATGTGCAACAACAAATAAACGGTTTTCTTTCTTATTTGTGATACAAACATGTTGGTGGTGTTATATTAATATCAAGGTGGGTTCTATTATGCATTCCTGGCATTACAGCTTGCTTTAGAAATGCAAAAATTGGTTTTGGTTTTGGTAAATTGGTGGTACTGATATTTAACAATAATTTTTAAACTAATAATGTTTCTATTTGATCTATTGCTATTTTTATTCAAAAACAAATTATATCGACCCTTAAAAGGCGTTGAAAACTAAAGGTATGTGTCACATTTATGATCTTTTAAGAAACAAAATAATTTACAAGCTATATTCATTTGTCGCATAATTTGTCGTAAAATATGTTTCAACTTGAAAAAGTATTCTTTACTGTATATCGCTCACTGATGGTCATACAAACGCTGTTTATAACCGTCGTGTGCTTACTCTCACAGTTTGCTGTTGACTTTTTAAGTATCGGTATTTCTTCTTATAAAATTCGGTGTTTGTCTTCGATGGTTTGTGCGACAACGCCTGATTTTTTGCAGCGACAGTTATTCTTCTTATCTTCTGTTTCAGATTTGTGTTTTAATAAAATTTAACTGATCATGTCAGTCTTTTCACATTTTTTTCCATAATTCTGATCTGGGTCTTCCACTTTTTTGTTGACCTTGTAACGAAAATATTTTGCCTACGACATGGGGTATTAATACAAAGGGTAGAAAATTGGGGGGAGAAACTATTGGGGGTGGAGATAAGGCAAGCAAAATAAACGCTACTTATGCGAACGGCACTCAGGGTTTCGTAGGAGAGCTGGAGTCGTGGATAAGTAAAAGATAAGGGCATTGGAATGGGGCAACTACAAAAAATGAAATAAAGGGCTCTTATATGAATAAGGGATAACAAAATAAAAATAAACAAGAAACACCTCAAGGAATTTAATATAGGGCGCCACTTGAGGTGCCTAATTATACCTATTACAACCACTGGTTGTAACTAGGGAAATAATTAGAAAACAAATCAAAACATACTCTTTTTTCAAATAAGAATCAAAAAGGTTTGGCTCAAAAAAATAAATAAAAAGTTAAGACAACAAAATTTAACCTTTATTTATGTGTCACCACAAACAGTTACAAAATGGAGAAATACAAAAACTTACGTGTCATCCGCTTACAAACTCCAGGAGTTGGAGATACTACATAATCTTAAAAATTTATATGGAGGTTAACCTTGTTTAAAAATAAAACAAACTAATAGTAAAAAAAATAATAATAAAAAACGAGCTGTCACAAGTTAACATTAAATTAAAAAAAAAACTAAACACACAAATTGACAGCTCAACTCAAAACCTAAAATTTACAATTTTAAATGTCAACGAAAGCAATTATTTAATTCAAAACAAATTGTCTGTCTTTACTTTAAAATTTGATCAAAAAGTTACCTGGATTTTCACTAACAAAATACACTAGAATTTGTGGAACCAGACGCCACTGGAATATCCGACACCATAACTGGAACTGAGGGCTTTACTCTCTGTGTAATGAACACAACTATCTATCTCCATATCTTCATATCTCGAACAAATCTTCTCCATACTGCCAAAAGCCTTGGATGATAACAGGGAGAAACAAAACGAGGATGGAATCGACGATTCTTCCATTCCTCACTCAAACATTTACTGAATCCATTAACTTCACACTGCTACACATTTTCTTCATAAAAAAAAACGAACAAACGTCTTCATAAAAAAAACACAAACAACGAGGAACATTTCGAATTTGAAGTCAAATTCGGACATAACGTTGACCGCTTTTCACCGCGGCTCCAACGATAGTAACGAAATTATCTATTAAAATTGATTGCATAACTTGAAAATAAACAAACACTTAACATAGCAAAACCAACGAACGACGTAGATATCCTTTGCGACGCATAAAATTGAAAAGAAATTGCCGAAGTAAAATAAACAACTCTCAAATGGTTTTATTACTCGGCGACGAAACACTTTTGGGTACTTTGAAAGATACGAACTAACAACACGGAAAAATTCTTCGTTTCATTTTTTAAAAATATATAAGGAGTTTTTAATATATTTTTTTATACGAGGAGGTTTCAATATACTCAAAAGAATCAATGAAATTGAAAATGCTACAACCCAGGGATAGCCACGCTAGATCTTTTTTTTTGAGTCTTGTTTCCGACTTCTCCAGGACATGTTCATACCAACTCAGTTGTTTCTTCTTGTCATCTTGGGTTCTATTTTCTTCTATATCCACACGTTGATTTATTACTTCATTTCTGATTAACTCCTGCCTGGAAATACATCTGATTGTATCCTATTGTCTATAACCGTTTCTTGTTTTTTCACTAATTCTCCATATTTCTGTGATATAAAAAAGGATAATTTTAACCACGGTCTCATATATATTAAATTTTCTTCCCCTTGTTATATCTCTACAGTATATTATTGATTCACCCTAAGACTTTTTTGCTTGTGTGATTCGTTTTCCTATTTTTCGTGAATCGGTGCCGGTATTATCAAAGGTAATACCCAAGTAGTCATAGCTGTGCCAAAAAATCAATTTTTATTGAAAATTATTTCATCTATTGTTATATTTGGTGTTTCTGACGTTTTCTGGTGTTTTCCGGTTCTCTCTCAAACATAATTGGCCTAGACTTCGGCAAATATGCAAATAAAAATGTAGAAAATATGCGCATAAATATGCACGTGTTTACCCGAAAATATGCAAATATTTTACAAAATATGCATACAAATAAATAAAAAAATCGTAAAATAGTAACAATTTTATTTAAAAAAAAAGTGTACATAACTAAATATTTCCTACTATTCATTAAGATTTACATTTTTTTAAGTAACTACATCATTTTTAAGTATGAATAAACTTATTTAGAATTATGGTAACAATAAATGACCAAGTGGTGTTCAAAATTTTCTAAGAAAAACTTGTGGCTTCTGTCTGAGTACATATATTTATATACGGAAAAACTTCGTTCAACATCAAGTGATGTAACGGGAGCATTTTTCAAACTAACCAAAACATTTGGTTCTAAATTAATTGTTTCCGAAATATTTCCAGCTATTCTTTGTTTCAAGTTAAGAAAATAACATTACGCTTATGGAGATCAGTGTTGCCAAAACTCTCAGACACTCTCTTTTGCACGGATGTCCAATATATTCCTTTTTGAATTTTCATTTTCAATTAACATTTAACTGTAAAAGTCAGAATAACTACTAAATAAAAGCTTTATTATCATTATGTAGTCAGAGACGACATAAAATAGCTGACATACGCACATCTTATTATTTAAAGTTGCAATTAGTAATTAGATATACACATTCCAAGCGGTCAATATTTTCTACTGATTTATATGATTCATGACGTATCGTATTCTCACCGAAAAACAAATAAACTGTCGTTACTATAATTAAAATAAGATAAAATAAAATTATCTTTTGTAAATACTATTAGCGAACCCTTAGCGATTATCCAATAACTGAATGCCTCAGTGACCAAGACTTTCTAAGAATGTTGAGGGCTAACTTAAATTGATCTTCTTTGAAATTGTAAATGTTTTGTACCTGTAGAGATTACGTACTTAGATCATTTCTTGATTAAAATGACTACAAAATTTTATACAAGAATTGAAATAAATTGGTATGTTTAAAAATTTTCAAATACAGTATAAAATCTGAACTTTTATGCACTTTATGCAAACTTTTATACAAATATGCCAAAATATGAAATATTTGCATAAAATATGCACAATATGCAAAATATGCAATATGCATATTTGCCGAAGTCTAATAATTGCAAAGTAAGGAATCCACTTATCTTTTTTTAAATGGATAATTTCAACCGGTTCATTTCATTCAATTTTTCTGATGTCTTATGAATCTCCATATTTGTTTTTGTACTTATTATCCTGTATGCTTTGTATAACTCTGTGTGTCATATTGATCCATATCTTAGAAAAGCTACTTTCTTCTCTTGACCAATGCGTTTTCGACTTAAAGTTTATATTTCTGTTTATTGTTTTATATCTTAATAATCCGCACGGTGTTTCCTGTATGTTTCAATTTACCATCATCTAGCTTTATTCCCCTAGAAATCAACCTTTAGTGCTCTACCAAAGAAAACAATCCGTATCCTCAAATGATTTCCGGATCATCAGCTTAATGAGCCACTTTTTAAACTTATTTCTAAAAATCATACATCAAAGGATATATAGACTATGCGAAGAAAAAAATCAGCCGTACAGTTTGGTTTTTGGAATGCAGTGGGTACGAGAGAGGCTCTCTTTAGCATACAAGTGCTATTTCAGCGATGTAGAGATGTGAATTGCGATATTTATGCATTACCAAATGATTTAATACATAAAACACGACAAGCTGAAGGAGATATTAACAAATATTGGAATAAACACCTGTGTTCTAAGAATTACTAGCAATCTTTACGGGAATTAAACATCGTCCATCCTACAGAGGCAGGAGAATCCAATGATATCAAAATCATACGTGGAGTCCGACAGAGATGTATACTATCACCTTTGCCGTTTAATATATACTCTGAGGACATCTTTTAAGAAGTAGTAGATGTTAAAGCCGGAATTCGAATTAACGGAGAATGTATCAATATTCGCTGACAATTATAAAGCCCTCCAGGAGTTAATGAATAGAATCACATACACCTACCTTGGTACGAACGTCAATAAAAATTGGGACCATTCCCTAGAAATAAAATGTAGGATCGAGAAAGCAAGATCTGCATTTCAAAAAATGGTTTAAGCTATTCAATTGCCATGATTTATCAGTATCCATAAAAATCAGGTTACTACAATGTTATATCCTTCCTATACTGTTGTACGGAGTTGAGTCATGGACTCTCACAGACGCTACTTGCAAGAAAATTGAGGCTTTCGAAATATGGCTTTATCTTCGAATCCTGAAGATATCCTATACCGACCACGTTACTAACAAGGATGTTTTATTAAGAATGCAAAAAGAAAAGAGTTGTTAACCACAATAAAAACAGCCAAAATTAAATACCTCGGTCACGTCATGAGGAACAGCGAAAGATAAAGGTTGCTGCAATTAATTCTTCAAGCAAAATTGAAGGAAAACGAGGACCAGGAAGGCGAAGAATTTCCTGGCTGAAAAATCTGCGTACGTGGTTCAACACAACAACTACAAATCTTTTCAGAGCAGCAGTTTGCAAAATACAGATTGTCATGATGCTCGCCAACATCCGAAAGGGATAGGTACTACAAAAAGAAGAAGCTTTATTCCACATCATTATCATCTTCGAAGAGATTCAGTTTGATTTTATGTTCTAGTTCCATTGTTCCAGTCTTGTTCTAATTCTTAATAAATATTTTTTATCATTTACCATAACATATCCATAACACCATATCATTTCTAAAAAGTAGAAAAATAGTGGTAACGGATTGAAATTTTTAACTAAATTTTGCGGTATTTTGTTTGTAGTTAACCCATTCTTACATAATTTTTAGAATATTTTGGTTAATAGAAATAACATTTTGTTGCATAACTTCATTGCCCTTTGGCTGCACATAGAAACGCTTCATAGCTTGGCCTCTTTGCACTTTTAGATTGTTCCTTAAACGCAATACTTTGTGGTGCATTAGGCATATCGGCTCCTTCCACCCCCGACAGCGGCTTTCATTCAGCTTCACCGAGAAACAGTTTGGAGCAGATGAGGGTTCGATCTAGAGGGTCGTCACCAAGTCCTAGACCTACGTACAAGAGCCAACGTTCTGGTCAAGGAAGCAGGAAGGTCAGTGTGGAACAACAATCTCCAGGCGTCGACGGAGTTGATAGTACTCCCATTAGTTCACCGATTTTAACAAACGAAAAGTAAGTACATCTAACATTTGGTCAACATTTTTTCAAGTAATTATCTGTAACCTACAGGGGTATTTATAATGTATATAATATGTTATTATACTAAAATCACAATCAAGATGCACTCGAAATAAACAAACTAAGACACTTAAATGTTACGAGGAACACTGCCGAATCACGATTTACAATGTATAAACTTTGTAAATCATGATTTGCTACAATGTATATACATTGTAAATAATTATTTGGGAGTGCTCCCTGTAATATTTAACGTGTCTTGGTTTGTTTATTTCTAGTTCATCTTGATTGTGATTTTAGTATAGCTAGCTTGATATCATCTACTTCGAACTTCGAATAATGAGTATTAATGTTTTAGTACAAGGAAAGAAGAGGACAGAAATGGCAGCTCCGCATCCATCAGAATAGAGTTTAGTTCAAATTCTCACGCTGAGAAATTCCGCGAAGCAATTGCAACGCTCGAAGCTGAATTGGACCAAAATCTCGCCGAACAGAATCTCATAGGCAAAGTTCTGGAAGATATTACGTCAAACAAAAGTTCGGTCATGCGACGAAACGTCAGCTTTTCATGGCAGCGCGGTATAAAAGTTGGTCAAGGACGATTCGGCAAAGTTTATACGGCAGTAAATAACAACACTGGTGATTTAATGGCCGTTAAGGAAATAGCTTTGCAGCATAATGATTCGGGTACGCTGAAGAAGATAGCTGAAGAGATGAAGATCCTAGAAGGGATTGCACATAATAATTTGGTGAAGTCTTATGGTGTTGAGGTTCATAAGGTAAGGATAGCATCTTGATAAAGTAATTCTAACATACATTTATTTTCAAGCTACGCATAAACTTTATATAAACTTTGTATAAACCAATAAATCATATTTTTAGGATGAAATGTTAATATTCATGGAATATTGTTCGGAAGGAACATTAGAATGTCTCGTATCAGATACTGAAGGGGGTCTTCCGGAGTTACAAGCTAGGAAATATACCTTCCAACTACTTTCAGGTGTAGCTTGTTTACATGACCACAGTATAGTTCATAGGGATATAAAGACAGCTAATATTTTCTTGACTGAAGGTGGCAACTGCTTAAAAATTGGAGATTTCGGCTGTGCTGCTAAGATTAAATCTAACATGACAATGCCAGGAGAATTAAAAGGATTTGTTGGAACTCAAGGTAAGAACTGAATAATTTTGTACTTTTTTTAGACATAACCTTGAAATACGTACTAACATTCGCTTCTATTGCAGTTGGTGTGCAATAACTTGGCAAGGTGTATTTTGCAACACTGCAATCGACCGTATAATATTGGTAGTAGCTTAGCGAAATTTACGTAATAATAAAGGAATGGTACTAACAGTTATTATTTGTTTTAGCTTATATGGCCCCTGAAGTATTTACGAAAAACATGTCCGAAGGACATGGTAGAGCAGCTGATATTTGGTCTGTAGGATGTGTTGTTATTGAGATGGTATCTGGTCAGGTAAGTAGAATATTAACTTGTGCGTGGTCTTGAAAATGGAAATAATTGAGTAGGGTATGGGTGTTAAAATTATTTGTAAAATATGGTTAGCACCACTATCGAAATGTACTTGCTAATTGTAAAATGCATGGTGATTTTTCACATCGAAAGTGTCAGGAGTTGATCGATACGGAAGATATCCAAAAACTACAACAAAACCGTAAATCATAAGCAGTCGCCGATTAAGGCTAAAGCGGGCCTGGGCAACATGGTAATTCCGGTCCTATTTTTTAGTCCTGGCACATATTTTGCGTTTGGTAGTTTCGTTTCAAAGTATCTAGTATATGGTTCCATTTAATTTTATTAAATTTTTGTATTTTCTTGCTTTTTTTAACATTAGTACCTGCAATATCTTTATCTTTTTCTGCTTCGTTTTCTAATTTGTCAAAATCATCTATAACAGTTTGTATAAAATCCACCAATGAACCTATATATTAAAAGTGCTCAATTTAGGGATTTATCTTTTTGTTGATTTGTCTTGTTTGAAGTATTTATATTCTCTAAAATTTTTTCCCATATAGTAATTAACAGTACATACTCAAATGTATCAAGTTTTTTATGTAAACCGGCAACTTCGGACCTTGTTAATAATTTGCCATCTTTATTTGAGGAGAAATGGCGAAAATAATGTTTAATTTCTTTGCTGCTTTTCGTTTTCTTTTTTCACTTCCACTTAAATGTTTATATGAACTCATTTTAAAGACTATAGTAAAAAGAAAGAAGTAAATAATCCTCAATTAAAATGATTTTTAGTTAATACATAATCACAAACAAAATCACAATTTGTGGTATTATATAATATATTAATATTTTAATTAAGTAATGTAATACTTTTATACAAAAACTTACATTTTTATTTGATCAATTCGAGTTCATGTGTGTCATATCCTAAATTTTATTGTATAGCACTGCACGCTCCATGATTAGATTTTTATGCATGTTTGTCCAGGGAGAAATTCTTAACAAACTGCTGTGTGACTATTGTCCCATTTTTACTGTTATTAGTAGAAATAATGATAAAATGTCTGCAACAAGTTTGTTGTTTTTGATTGCTTAGTAATAGTAGTATTTTTATCATTCAATAAAAACTTTCCTTATATTTCAGCGCCCTTGGGCTCAGTTCGACTCTAACGTGCAAATAATGTTCAAAGTTGGCATGGGCCAAAGCCCGGATCCTCCCGATGACATGACAGACGAAGGCTTGGACTTCCTTGATCTGTGTTTCAAACACAATCCGCGAGAACGAGCTACAGCTAGGCAACTTCTCGTTCACGATTACGTTCAACTCAAATTGAGTTTGGAAGACTAAGAATTATTGAGTCTGGATATTGCTTAAATTCTGTGAATTTTGGTCTCAGATTTAATATAAAAAGGCTATTTTGAGCAGCAGACTGTTGATCTTGCATAGACAGTTTAATGAAGTAATTATGATGTTATATTGTAAGATATTTGTTCAAAATCGATATTCAAATAGTAAAGATTGACTAAACTTGAAAAGTAGGTACTATGTTACCAATAATGAGGAAAAAAATATGGTTCATACAAAATGAAACCTGATGTACATAATTTTATATGATGTAGACGAACATGTAAATTACATGCGAATATTTTAGTTTATTTATATATATATATATATATATATATATATATATATATATATATATATATACTTTTAAACATTTCTTTTATATTTTTATTGTAAATATTTTCAATGTATGTTTGTATATTAAAATTGAGTAAACAATTTTTGATTTGCAATATTTTAAACTGGTTTTCGTGAACGAGTTTTTCATAAGTTTAAATGTGAAAGAAACGGAAAATGTGAATCCTCTGATTTTACGTTCAATTAAAGTTTATATGCAATTACGTTTTATTATTATTTAATGTACGTGAATGAAAAATTAATATATTTTATTTAAAAAAGCAATCTAAAAGATTTTACATCAATTGTGGTAACGTTAGGGTTTCGTGATTTTAATTATCCACCATGATAGTTTCCCTGAAAAGTAATTGTAAAATTGTAATTGTAATCTAATCATATATGATTCCATATTTACGACTTATAAGAATCACCTATGACTCAAAATATTTTTTGATATTTTAATTATTTTATACCAGCATCTTTTTTTGTAGATATAATTTTAAAAACATTAAAAAATATTTTAATAATTTTAAGATTTGACTGTTTAATGCTTATCATTTATTATGTAGACTGAATAACTGATTTTTATTTGATTTTTATACTTTCAAGACTATTATTGCAGCTTTATTATGGAATTTTTATAGTTACACATCTATTCTCAAACTAACTACAAAGAGTTTAAAGTGAAAATGAACAATATATTTTAATATAAAAGTGTATACATTTATTTTTAATTATTTTATCTCCAAATTGGAAAAATATTTAATTTTAATAACTATTGTCCTAATATCCCTCTTCAATGTACTTAAACATAGGTGAACAATAGAATTTTTATATGTATATCAAATTATTTTTAATAATTTAGTACATATTATGTAATTTTGAAGGATTTAAAAAACCCCAAATTATATATTTTAAACCATATTTTATTATTAAACATAATTTCCTTGAACTTCAATTCATTGGTTCCAGCAATTTCGTAATTTGTCGAATACATTTTTTTAATGAGAATACGGAGGACTGTCAAAATGCTCTTCCACTGCTGATTTTGGTTCAATGAAAATTATTGGGCATTAATCGGGCATTAATTGGTGACGAAAATTGTCGATTGTTTTTTGAGCTGTGTGAGATGGTTGTGTTGTCCCGATGAACAATTTTTTTCTATATAAAGCAGTACTTTGCTCACCATTTTTTACATCCAGTTATTCCAAAATACTATTTATATATCCAGGTTACAATAATAATCGTGAGTTTTACCAGTTTTGAGTTTATCCAGACTTGGATTGATTCATATACGATTTAATATATGAAAAATATACAACCTTTTTACCCTTTCTAAAAAGTTCAAATTGCTGAGAAAGTCAGATTCGAAAATATTTTTGGTTCGTTATTAGCAAATGTATACAGGGTTTTCTGAAGTCCAATACTTAAGACAAAACATTGCTGACTAAAATAAAGAGCTGTAGGGCTACTTAATCTCTTATGGTTAATCGATGATAGTAAAAAGCCATATCCTGTATTGCTGAATGGCATTGTTGAATTTTATGGAAATTTCCGTGAATCTTTCAAGATTCTTACAATCTCATTTAAATTTAATAAATCTTTCTACTGTTCTACAGATGACAAACTACGGCGGCTCTCGGTCTGATACACTGGGACCTTTACATATCCATTGTGCTTCCATTTTTCACTTTGAGTTCCTTATCCAGCCCCTATCCTCTCATGAGCTTCCACAACCTTGAAAAGGGTCCTTTTTATATAGACTGATACTTTTGTTTTTTTTTCCTCTCCAAGTTCTAGATACCGCAACCTTGTGAGGCCTTCACACTGACATAAGACATGCAGAGAGCTTTCTTTTTCTTCTAGACAGAACTGACAAGTATCCTCTTCCGTCAAGCCCATACAACCCAAATGTTTATTGCGCCTAAAGTGTCCAGTCAACAGCGATACTATTCATAACGTAGTTAATCAAACTCACATTTGTACATACATTTAAAGTTAGAAGAATATATTGATAATAGTCAGTCAGATAACAGTCAGCCAGTCAAAAAGTAGCTTCAAATATTTTTACTTCAATTAATAGTAATTAATTTTTGACAAAAAATTTATTTCGTTCATTTATGTTTTCTAATAAAATACGCTGCTCGTGACGTATATGAATGTTTTTTATATCACATTAAAGCTAATTTTTTTCTTAATATGATGATATAAGTTTGCTTGAGAAAACACGGTCGAAAATTAGGGTTTCCAGCTGTTAAAAACGCGAGGTATCAAATATAAAATAAAAAAAAACAGCTAATGCGCAACGCTACTGATTTGAAGTGTCAGTTATGTGAGTGTTTAAAGCATGCTTCGATAGATATGTAATTATATATACTTCATCTAATTTACATACCGATGCACGTCATTATCTACGTCAGAGATCGAAGTTGACATAGTTGCCAAAGTATAAAAAAATCCTGACTCCATTTTAAATCAAATAGATCACATAATTATTGCAAAAGTATTACCATTTCTTTACAACGACTATTTAAATTCTTACGTGACTTTTTGAAATAAAATACACTAATTTTGTTCTAAAAAGAACAGATTTTATTAAATAGGTAAAAATATAAAACAAGAGGTATTCACGTTAAAATTCAAAATAATGAAGTACAAAAAGTGTCAACACCGCAACTGTCAAATAAGTGTTACCAATTTATGCCAAAATTTCACCTTCGTTCGATTACAGTTACAGTGTGTTCCGAACAAATGTTCTTCATAAAAACGCTTTATAATGCATTTATACAAATTAAATGAAACCTATTATTGTGTATTTCTTTAAGTTAACATTAATAGAAATTTTTAAATATTATTTCTACGCGTATATAATAAAATATGTCTAGTGGCTGTAATGCCAGTGTGATTGGCAAAGTGATTCTAAAAAAGAACACACCTACCGTCTAAATATTTCGTGTTGTTATCCTATGACGTCACGGGCTATGACGCCGATGACGTGCATCGGTAAGTAAATTAGATGAAGTGTACATATTGTCAAACCAGTTTCGGTGCGCCCTAACTTTATTTTACTTTATCTTTGATACCTCGCGTTTCTAACAGCTCCCAACCCTAATTTGAGCCAATTTTTTCTGTCAACCTTATATCATCATATTTTATTTAAAATATAAATGATCGGAATAAAGTTTGATGAATTGCGTTATGAACGTAGTGATCCTGTAGTGGGATCGTGTACTAGTAAGTCGCCTGTGAATTTGGCTGAATGTAACTTAATGAACTTTTTAGCCTGTCTTTGTTCTGATGCATTTCTTCACCATTCCAAAGACTTATCTTTCACCCATGTATCAATGGCTGCTGTTTTGGAATGTTTGCAACACCAAAGTAGGGTTCTTTCGCAACACCGGAGTAGATCACGATTCAGTCGTTCTCCACTTGTCGACCTATTAGTTCCATAGTACATCTTTGTATAGCGACTTCTACAACAGTTCTAACTAAAAGTAAAGTAATTGTAATCTTTTATCAATCGTTCATGATTTTTTTGATGCTACACATAGTAAGTGTTTTCCATTGTTAAAAATACTTTAATGCGTCAACTTTGAACAGTTGTAAATTCAGAAACGATTTGACAGATATACTTGAACAGTATGATAAAAATAAAAGATGAATGTAATGGCGCTATCTCTTCTAGAACGGCAAACCTATTGAACAGCCTAGTGTAGCAAGCATTAACTTTTTCAAATTTTAAGATTGTACATTTTAACATGAACATCAGTTTTTATTTTGTGTGACTTGTAAATATTGAAATGTTTAGGACAGACTTTTTGTATATTTTTGTATACCTTGGTGATTAATTTAAAATTGTATTTGTTGTACAAAGTTTAAATTTTATCAGTATGAAATTTTAACTTAATTTATACCTGCATTGTCTTTGGTAGCTTAGGTGAACGTAATAAATTCGAAATATTACAGAAGTTGGTCAGAATATTAAATACTTTTGTGATTATAGTTTTAATATCAGGACATCGTTAAAAGGTAAAGCTAAATAAATGATGATACCAACAATAGCACACTTTTTATTTTACACAACCTAACTTTCCTATTTTGTTTTATTTTTATATGTTTACATCACGCAGACACTCGATTTATATTATTTAAACAATTTATGCCACCCAATGGTCAATCTACAGGTGGTTGTATAACACGTTTGATAGAAAAAACAAGTTTTTTGGAATCAAATCGATTTATTTCTCAACATAGTCCCCTTTTGTACACTCGATACACTTAGTAAGACGATGTTCCAATCTTTTTATCCCATCCGAATAGTACTTTTGCTCGAGCATTTCAAAATAGGCCGAAGTTTCAGCGACGACTTCATCATTTGTTGCGAAACGGCGTCCTCCGAGCCATTTTTTAGGTTTAGAAACAGGGAAAAATCGCTGGTGGCAAGATCTGGGGAATACGGTGGATGTTCAACCAAGTCATAGCCCAATTCGTCTAATTTTGCCATGGCGACGGCGATCAGTGAGCGGTGCATTGTCTTGCGAAGGCACTTTTAGCGTTCCAAACCGGGGCGTTTCCGACGCAATTCGGCATCGAATCGATCCAATAATGCTGCGTAGTACTCACCATTGATTGTCTTTCCTTTTTCCAAGTAGTCGATGTGGATGATC